TCACCATGAGGTGGATTTTTCAGAAAATGAAAAAGTCTAGTCGAAGGCAGCCAATTTAGAAAAATCTAACAAAGAATGGTGAACTTTCACCGATTTGACGCACTGGACTAGATATTCAATTCCATTACCAATTCTCCACAATTCTTTCTGTGGGTTTTTCAGCCTCTGCGTTGTTTCTTGTGCACTCCAGTATTTTTAATTTCCTGTTGCTGGCTTATTATGTTATCTACAGCAGTGCAAAATCACCTATTCAGAGACCGGTGCGGTGAAAAACACCTGAACTTCCAGCATGCTAATGTTTTTTGCAACTGTCTACGTCAGGGATAATTATTCCTTATTTTTATTATCAGGTATGAAAATATTGGTAATGTCTGGAACTTATAAACACAAAAGTGGTGCTATGAAAAGAAAGTTAAGTAGTCAAAGAAAACAAAATGAGGCATCTACTAGTAAAATTGATTCATTCTTTGTTAAAAAAAGAGATGATGTTCCTCATGAAGATGCTCCTGTTGAGATCAGTGATGAACCAATGGAATCAATGACAGAAGAAGATGTAGATCTTGAAACAGAGTCAAATGTTGAAATTGATCTACTGACTGGAGAAAATACACTGGAACCTCCTCCTGCCAAAATGCCACCTGGAGTGGAAAAATTCTTGGCATACCAATATTTAATTACACTGAGCACTACACAGTGTGCATGTGAACGATGCTTTTCCAAGTTAAAAATATTAAAGTCAAGACTGAGATCATCTCTTTCACAGCAAAACCTGGAGCCATTGATGCTCATTGCAGTAAAAAAGCAAGTTGCACAAAACATAAAGAGGGACAAAGATAAAATCATTGACAGATTTGCCAAGACGTCACCTGAACTTAGCTCTTTACTGCTTTTATAACATGCAGGCCAGGGCTTCTGATTTGTTAAAATGTGTTTACTTTTACTGAGTGAGTTTACATTTTTTTTAAATTGTATTTAGCTTGTGTGTGTGTGTATTTTACAGACGTTTTTTCCCCTAATATTCTGTGCAGGATTTGTTCTAAAATATGCTGTCAACCATTCAGTTGAAAAGCTCAATATAAACATTCAAATGTTTACAATTTTTTTATGATGCACTTTTTTCTTTTTTAAGATGCACTTTTTTTAGGATGCACTTTTTTAAAGATGCACTTGTTTTCAGATGCACTTTTTGTAAGATGCACTGTAATGTGTTGAATTGATGCTCACATTTAGGTAATAGGAAGAGATTGGTGGTATTTTCTGTGATGCAAGTTTTCATATTCTATATTTTGTTATCTTATTAAAATGTTCTTAAGACGACATTTGTTACACCTGTTATATTTTGTTAATTAAAACCCTCATTTTGGAAATGTACAATTGTTGCACTTTATTTAATGTAAGTTTATTTCTCTTTATTTAAAAAAAAATAGTAAACATTTATTTTGAACATAGTGAAGATAAATTCTGTACCAAGTGTAGGTGATGTGGGCGGTGCAATATGTGGGTGGGGCTGTGTGGCTTGAGGGTGGGCGGGGACACAGGGCCCCATAATCTTCTATTGCCCGGGGGCCCCATGAGTTGTCAGTCCACCCCTGCCTTACCCAGCAGATTCATCTTCCCCCAGCAGTTCGCCTGTCTCTAGCCTGGTGGACAGATGCTTCCAACCTTTCACCCGGCAAGCCTCTGAGAGAAGTGGACTGGCTAATTGTCACTACCGATGCCAGCTGCAAAGGCTGGGGAGCAGTGTGCGGGCAGCACACAGTGCAAGCTCCATGGGTGGGGCAAGTCCCGGCAAGTTCCAATCTTCTGGAATTGGCGGCAATTCGGGAGGCCCTAGTAGCATTTGCCCCTATCCTTCGGCAACGGCCTGTCAAGGTGATGTCGGACAACAAAACGGTGGTGGCCTATGTTTCCAATCAAGGGGGCACCAGGAGTTGGCAGCTGCTGAAGATTTCGTCCCAGATCTTCCTGTGGGCGGAGGACAACCTTCAGGATCTGACGGCTTGTTACCTTCCAGGGTCCGAGAATATCGAGGCGGACACACTGAGTCAGAGGCTGCTGGACCACAACGAATGGGCCCTGAGCCATTCTGTTCTGACTCCGATTTTCAATCTATGGGGCCTACCAGACATCGATCTTATGGCCACGGCGGAAAACCACAGGCTTCCAAAATTCTTCTCTCGCCTATACGACCACAGGGCACTAGCACAGGATGCACTGGCGCAGAGGTGGAACTTCCACTTAGTGTACGTCTTTCCACCGTTTTGCATGATCCTGAGGGTGCTTCTCAAGATTCAGAGGGAGCAAGTAGACGCAATTGCGATACTTCCATTTTGGCCGAGACCTCCTTGGTTCCCGCGAGCCTGGCCCGCTTACACCTTATGGCCTGGAGGCTGAAAGGCATCGGTTAAAGGGCTTGCGGATCTCGGAGTCAGTGATCCAGACCCTCTTGCAGGCTAGAAAGGGTTCGACTAACACGACATATTCCCGAGTGTGGACCAGGTTTATCGATATGGCTAAGAAACGTGGTTTCGAACCTTTCGATCATCCAGTGGGAAGGATCTTGGAATTCCTGCAGCAGGGATTGGATGGGGGGTTAGCCTTCAACACCCTGAAGGTACACGTGTCGGCACTAACAGCCCTGACGGGAAGGAAGTGGTCGGCATATCCGTTGGTAGTGCAGTTTCTGAAGGCAGTAGGGAAGATTCGTCCACCTCGAAAAGTGTTCTTTCCTAAATGGGATCTCCCGTTGCTGCTAAAAAGCCTTCTTCAGGCCTCGTTTGATCCTATCCAATCCTGCTCTCTGTGGCATCTTACACTGAGGATGGCATTCTTGCTGGCCATTGCTTCAGCGCGGAGGGTCTCAGTATCCTGCTGAGGCCAGTACCGTCATTCCTTCCAAAGGTATCGTCTAGTTTCCATGTGAATTGGGAGATTGAACTCTCCACATTTCCTACCTCGGAAATCTCGGAGATGGATGAGTTGCAGTGGAAGAAGTTGGACCTGGTGGAGAATCTCTCCACGTACTTACAAAGGACCACATCTTTTAGGAAGGACAAGAATTTTTTTATTTGTTCGAGCGGCTCAAAGAAAGGTTTGGCGGCCCCTCCGAGGATTCTTTCATCGTGGATAGTGAAGGTCATTTCGTTGGCGTACAGGGTCGCAGGTCTTTCCCCTCCCCATGGCCTAAAGGCTCATTCCACACGGGCGATGGCTGCTTCCTGGGCCACCTATGCGAGGGTGCCGGTGGATACCCTCTGCAGAGCGGCGAGCTGGAACACGCCAAACATGTTTATGCAACACTATAAGCTGGATGTTAGATTTGGGGCTGAAGCCTCTTTGGGAGTAGCAGTTCTTTCAGCTATGGCAGCTATGCTCTGGTGTATGACTGTTTATTGGGGGTTTTCCCTCCCTAGTGTATTGGTTTTAAATCCCATTCACACCTGGGCGTTTTACAGCGCTGGTCGACGCGCTGTAAAACGCCCAGCAAATGAAATTCCATTATTTCCTATGGACATGGTTCTCACTTGGGCGTATTTCAGCGTGTCGGAACGTGCTGAAAAACGCCCTACGCCCAAAGAAGTACAGGAGCTTCTTTGGGGCGTATTTCCGCGCATATCCATTAGGATACAGCCGGATAGCCCTCGTAAACGCGCGTTTGACCCGCGTTGTGAGGGCTGCAAATCGCGGTTAAAACATGCACCCCAAAACGCGCGTCATACACGCATATTTCGAACGCCTAGGTGGGAACCCAGCCTAAAGAAGAACTATGAGGTGAGTGCTTTTCACTCACCTCATAGTTCTAGCCGACCTGCGACAATGAGACTGTCACAGGTCGGCTCAGTAGATCGGGAAGTGAGCGAACATATACCGGTGTTCGCTCACTTCTCGATCCTATCACGGCACAGAGCCGTGACAGGGGAGGGGCTGTATTCCCCCCTCCCCACTCCGATCCTCTAGCGCTAACTGGCGGAACGGATGGGGGAGGGGGCAGGTACAGCTGGCTCTGCCTCTAGATAGGCAGAGCCAGCTGTCACTCACGCAGCTGGGCGGATCCAGACATAATTTTATCACATAAAGAGTACCTATGTGATTAGCAACTAAAAGTAAAAAAAACAAGTTTCTAAAATATAATACATTATATTAATATTAAAAGTAAAAATAATAGAACTTTGTTTTTAAAGTCCCCCCGCGAGCACGTGCGTCTTCACATAAACACGTGTCCGTTGCGCCTACATATGAAAACGATGATCGTGCTTCACGCTAGGTATTGCTGCGCATGCCGGAGTGAGAGCAAAAATTCTAGGGTCATGCATTTTTGCGTATCTCTAAACTGATGACCTGTGGAGGCTTTTGAAGCGTCATCTATAGACTTTTTGGGATACTGAATTTTGTCACAGTTTCACGGATGTACACAATTTTTGACCTGGGCATGTTGGGTATCTATTTACTTGTTGTAACCTCATCTTTTATATTTTATAAAATGATGCGTATTGTATTGTGTTTTGGGGCATTGAAGTGCATTTTTCACAAAATTTTTGGGTTTGATAATGAGTTGCGATAATATCGTGCAACATATGGGGGTTTAAGTAATTTTAAGACTTAAAATGTGGATTATAACATGTAAACAAAAAAAAACAAAAAAAAAAGACCTCAGTCATGAGGGGGTTAAGTTAATCATAACTTAATTAAATCATACATTAAGTTAATCATACATTAAGTTATTGATGTATGGGTATACTGTATAAAGATTCCTCCTGTGTGCAACATTTCCTTGCATTTGAGTACTCTCTTTGAAGCGTCAAAGACTCCCAGCTGGCACCCATGCTTTATCCAGACTGGAAAGAATGAGAGTGGATTGGAGTGGTGGATTACCTCTCAGACTAATAAAATTATCTATCGAAGCCTGATAAAATGTCATGGCAGTATATTAAAATATGTTCATGAATGCATGAGTGTCTAAAACTAAAATCAGATGTATTGTGATACGTAAATGTATATACCTTCATTTACTAACTTCTGGAGCACTTTAACAAAAACGAAGTTTCTTGAGGCTTCTAATGGGTCATCTTTGCCATCTAAAGTAGACCACCTGTAAAGAAGCATATGAGATAGCTTATGATTACTTAACTTACCAAAGAAATGTTTGGTAAAACAACTAGTGAGAGCTCTAACAATTTATTTATGCCTGTTGACAAGTTAAAGTGCCAACAGCAAGCTATATAAGAGTAAACAATGTTCCAGCCTAATGAGCCAGATACCAGTGGTTGTAGACATATAAGAGTCACCCCCGCCTCCCAATTCATCTGCCAGCAGCTAGATTCCGCAGCCGACAGCTGTATGTAAACAGCAGGCAATGGGCCTGCTATTGCAATAGGGGGGATGCATGGGGGTAGGGTGGAGGCAGGCTCCCCTTCAGGGTCAGTATTGGTAATATCAGTCAATTTAAGACAGATACTTTAAAATGTTGTAAATATTGGCCCCGATTATCTGTAGATGAGATATTTGGTTGATCCCTATTTTGTTGCAATCAAAGAAAAGGATGTTAGTTGGTGTGAGTGGAAGGTTAATCTGCAAAGGCAGTATAGGAAGCATGTCAACTCCACCCCAAGTAGAGACTGAATACGCAAAACTAGAAAGCTGTTGAAAAACACCTTTAATCTAAATTTTGCATTCTCCCTCCTTAAAGTGTGTTGTAAAGTAGCCACCGCTACAATCTTATGTTTAGTTTACTAAATTGTAATGTACCGGCAGTCCATTTGAGGATCTGCAGCCGAGTGATGCACAAGTAAGTAAAATTTTTGATAATAGTTAGGCTGGGTTCACGCCTAGGCGACAGTGTTTTTGCGCATTTTAGGCGCTTCTTTGATTGACACTTTTGTTTGTTTTTATGCGCGTAAATCAAATCGCACGTTTTTGTGAGCAAATTCGAGCTCATTGATGTTAATGAACGAACGCTCATAAAACCCCCAAAAACACAGCAGACGAACATTTTCAAGCGTTTCCTATTGAGTCTATGGGGCCAAAACGATATGTAATATCCCCCAAAAAAGCTCATGTACTTTAAACAGCGACAGGCATTTTGGTTATAGCGACAAAACGCTCATATGTGAACAGGGCCATAGAAATTAATAGGATTTTTTTGGGCATATTTTTTTAGCGTTTTTTAGGGTAGAAAAAGTGCTACAAAATTCTCAGTGTGAACCAGACCTTAAGGTCACAGAACGCAGGGATATAATTCAGGAACCAATGGGTTATGCAGTTACCTTCAGGCGATTGGACACTGAAATATGTAAGGACAGCACTGTATAGCCCCTCCTATACCCAATCTTCCTCAGTTTTATAGGAAGCAGTACAAGATCACAGAAGTAAGAGGGGAGGGTCCTGTAATCTAAGGCAAGAAATGGATTTTACTGGCAAGACAAAAATCCTGTTTTCTTGATCATACATCATAGGACATGTGACCATGCACATCATCTCGGGAGGAAAATGCCTTTCCCTGGGATCTCGTGAGATTACAGATGAGATTTTCCAGCAATGCTCTGCTGTTCACAAGGCAATTCCAATGTGCATTGCTTTGGCAAACTGAAGTAATTTTGCCTTTTCAAAGCAGGAAGTGAATGCTCTGCAAGTGTATTTCAAAATCACAGCATTTTACATCTGTCATGTCTATGTTATTATTAATCATCATACATAGACGGATGAATCGGTAGAATTAGATTTTTGAGTATAAAGGCAGGGCCGGATTTATATATTTAGTAGGGATGCACCGATGCCGATACCGAGTATTTGGGTGAGTACTCGTTTGAGCGATATCTTTCCCGATACTGGAACTTCCGGTCAGAGGGAGATTTCCTCTGACAGGCAGTGCCATGAGGGAACATGGAGCCGGGAAGCTGGCTCCATGCTGTTTAGCTGGCGCGTTCCTGATTGGCCAGGAAGCCGGCTTCCCAGCCAGTGTCGAGCCGGGCAAACAGATCTTACAATATGGTGACTGCCAACCCTGCAGATAAATCATTCCCCTCACATAGATCCTTAGCAACCGTCAATACCATACCAGTCCCTCGGCCAGCTGAGCAGACACCTTTCTCCAAGCTCCCCCGGATCTGCTCACATCTCCTGTGTGTACAGCACCCATGTGATTGGCCCTCAGCCTGCTACTGCGCATGCACAGGATTTCTGAATGAGAGCGCTGGGCAGTAGCAAAGCTGAGTGCCAATCATGTGGGCGCTGTACACACAGGTGACGTGGGCAGATCCAGGAGAGAGGTGTCTGCTCAGCTGGCCAGGGACTGGTACGGTAATGACTACTGCTGAGGATCTATGTGAGGGGAATGAGGTGTCTGCAGGGTTGGGGGTCGTGTCACCATATTGTGGGATCTGTTTGCTTGCCTCGATGCCGATTGGCTGGGAAGCCGGCTTCCCGGCCAATCAGCATCGAGCCGGCCAAACAGAATGGAGTCGGCTTCCCAGGCAATCAGGAAGCCAGGTGGCAAGTCATTACCCGCCACCTGGCTTCCTGGATGGAACTTCCATTACTCGGTAATTAGTATCGGCGAGTACCGGAAAAAAATGATCAGTACTCGGTACCAAAATACCGGTATCGGTGCATCCCTATTTGTTACCCAACTGTATACACTTGGTAATAGCATTTTGTAATTTGTTCTTAAAACAATCCTGTTTCTGGTCAGTGCTCAGTTTGTGAAATAAGTTTTCCCATTCCATTTCACCCACTATCTTGTGCAGCTTATCAAAGTTAGCCTTTCTGAAGTTTAGGGTTCTTGTCCGACCGGCCCACTTCCCTTTCTTGTATCCAATATTGAAAGTAATCACATAGTGATCACTATTACCCAGTGTCTCCCCAATTGCAATATCTTCAATTAACTCCACATTATTAGAAATGATTAAATCTAGGATGGCATTTTTCCTAGTTGGATCCTCAACCATCTGATCCATGAAATTGTCTCGCAACATGTTCAGAAAACGGGCTGCCTTTGTCGAATGTGAGGTTCCATTAGCCCAATTGATGTCTGGATAATTGAAGTCGCCCATCACGACGACATTACCCTGCTTCCCAGCTATTTCTATTTGGGAGTGCAGATAAGCCTCCTCCCCCTCCTCTATATTCGGAGGTTTATAACAAACACCCACAATAAGTTTACGTCTAGCGTCCGTTCTATCTAGTTCTAGCCACAAAGATTCCACGTCATCTCCACTATTTGACGTGATATCGTCCCGTATGTGTATATTAAGATTATTTTTAACATAAATGCAGTGGAAGGAGGACTTGTTAGTATACCTATGTTGTAAAGAATTCATTGTGAGGTGATTATATGAGTGTGAGAAAAGTAATTGCTTATGATCTATAGATTTTGATTTGTGACAGGGCACAGGGTGTTACAAATTCTACAAGAGGAGTTCCTGGGCGTATTTATATATTTTTGATTTAGGGAGACATATCACATACATATGGGTAGTTGGGTACTGAGCCAGTAAATAGTGGGTATAACTGGCAGTTTTACAATCTGAGAGGCTCCACTTTTTTTCAAGGGACATTACACACAAGCATATATTGGTCCCAAGTTCAATGCATGTATAATGTATTTAAAGTAGACTACTAAAACTTGCAACAGCCCAGCATTTAGTCACATATCAAGGTGAGCTATGAATAAATAAACATTTATGCCCCAAATACTCACATCTCAAAAAAAGAAAATGTGGTACTTACGTGTCTTTTTTTATAGATTTGCAAAGTATTTCCTGCTTTACTTCTTCTAAATCCACTCCATCATCCTTTAAAACACAAAAGTAGTTAAAATACACAAGGTGCTTAAAGCTGAACCATACCTAAAGTAGAACTTTAAGTTAAGAAAAGTTGCTAGCAGGAAGGCTTGTATTGTAGAGGAGGCTTGCTGGCAGGCAGATAAGAAGCACTTACTGCAGAAGAGTCTCTTTTGCAATAAATGAGTCTTACCTACCTGCTAGCAATTTTATTCAGATTGCACTGTGAGCTGCGAAGCTCAGTGTGCAATCTCGGTATACCTTGATGCCAGCATTATCTAAGTATATGAAACACTTAACAGTGAATTTATCTTATTTGCTTACTTTTGGCTTGCTAACTTTACCATTTCAATTAAGTGCAAAACAGGAATTTAGAGCTGTGTTGTCATATTAAAGATGAAGTTAGGAGCTCACTAAAATTCTAGCACATCAACTGGTATTCGTCTGTACTTGAAGCATGTGTAAAGAGGTAAAACATAGGTTAAAGTGTATGTATGCCAGAACAACAGAGACTTTTTTTAAAAATTTTGCATTGACATTTGCTTTAACTCTTGAAAGCATGCCCAGAAGTTACGTTATCACGCGTTGAACAATAAAAATGGAGGAAAATGCTAAACCTGAAAGAAAACTCGGCAAAGATGTTAGCAGCGACAAGGAAGCTTGTGGATGCCACATCGCTGGAGAGAAAGTGCTGCCCTGCAGACTTAGTTCTGCTTTAAACAGAGGAGTGCTTACTTGTCACAGATTTATGCTTTATATTAATGTCTTCTTTTCCAGTGGTTCATAATCTTCATGATTAGGTGACCTTTCATCCATCAAAGAAACCATGCACATCAGTTCTTCCTGCATAAGGCAGAGGGCATTGGGTTGTGGCTGGGTCTACATTGATTTGCCTTGCCCAGCACCACTACGTGCTTCAAAACTATGCCTTGCATAACATCTGTCATTATGCCTTGCATAACACCTGTCACCCTGCCAATCTTTCCCCTGGCTGCCTCTCTACCTTGCCATGGAGCAGAGCACTGTGTACTGGTTGTTGTTTGGCAACTAGGACAAGTACAGCAGAATAGCAGTCAGGGCAGCACATAGACCAACACCAACATTGTGCTTACAATGGTGTAGTGCCTGAACACACCACTGCACTACCCCCTATCAAGTCTGCACTCCTGTCACTGCCTATACAGACACACCACTGCACTACTCAGCATTTTTATTAGTAAATTCCAAGAACCTGTCCACAACAAGCAGGCAACCAGAAAGGTAATGCAAGTTGCAGTCTGCCTGGGTTCCCACTCCATGTCTGATGAGTGAATCTAAATCCCATCACTATGAATATCTGAGGAAAAAAAGGAATGTATGTAAAACATTTTTTGGGTATATTCAGGCCCGGATTCCCCACAAGGCCACCGAGGCCCGACCTCGGGGCGGCAGGGCGCAGAGGGGCGGCAGCGGTGTCCTTGTGGGGAGGTTTCCCTCTCTACATTCAGTCCTGCTTTGTACAAGCAGGACTAAATGTAGAGTGAGGCAGCCGATTTTTCGTTTACATGTGAAATCGGCGATGTCGCCGAGATCACATGTAAACAGTGTGCAGCCGGTCCGTCCGTCCTCCCCTTCCCCCTGCACTTACCTCTCTCCTTTGGTTCCGTCCTCTGCCGCCGAGTCTCTGACTGCAGTGAGCAGTCCGTGTAGACTGTAGACAGTGAGAGGGGAGAGCTGTGCTCTTCCTCTCTCACCTGTCACAGGAGTTCCAGCACGGTACTGTGCTAGAACTCCTGTATTGGATGGGACAGGGTCAATTAAAGAGAACCTGTCACCTCAAATTGCCATCACACAGGGGATTGTTTAAAAAAAAAAAAATTAAATACAAATTAAAAAAATAATATGAAATAATTAAATAAATAAAAATTAAAAAAAAGAAATAATGAAAGAAAAAATAAAAAGTGTTAAAGTAAAAAACTAAATATAGAAACAGTAAAAAAATTTGACAGTAAAAGGACAATCAGCACAATAATGAGGGCATCTTTCTGCTTGGTCTTCCTTTTAGTATGATTCTTGCACTGCAGCAAAACTGCTGCTTCCCCTTTCCTAGTCTGAGCTCTGCTGTACAATGGACTGCAAAAGACTAATACCAAACCAAAATCAGCTACTTGCACTGTTTTCATTAAAAAAAATATGTAAAAATATATTACTGTGTACATAACTGCAATTATTTGTGTCTTCTCTGCCTGGAGTTCAGTTTTATTCGTTTTGTATAGAGTGGAGAGGAATTCGGTTTTTGTTGCTACCCATTAGGGAGATTCACCTGCTCTATTTGTCCTGGTGACGGTTATCACTGTAAATGAAATCCTAAACTTTGGGTTGTCACTAGAACAGTAAAAGATGGAAAATCTTCCAATGGGGACACTAGCTCTGGTGACCGTGCTGACCATCAGTGATTCCCGTCAAATAATAAAAAACTCAGTATGTCCATATGTGAAGTTAAAGTGCTCTTTGCTTCTCAGTGCTCCACGTTTATTAACAGAAAAGTCCGCACTCACCAGATAGGGCACTGAGAAGCAAGGAGCACTTTAACTTTGCATATGGACATACTGATTTTTACTTCATCTTTAAAGGACATTCATTATGACACTTTACACTTAATAGATTGTTGTCTATATGATTAATTTGGTTATAAGACATTTATTTATATACACATGCAACTTGTGTACATCACGGGTTTGTACCTTTGCTGAGATTGTATTTTCTTGTAGATTTTTATCACTTTATTATATCCCACACAAAGACAATTCCTACATTTGTATCACTTTTTTTTTTATAGATCACTCAATCGAGCACAGTGTAATTTGGATTTAATTTATAGTTATGTAAAACTTTGGCTATAGGTGGACAAAATATATAAGGAGTGTTTTTCTTGTCAATACAAAGAATTGCATTTTTGTACTCACCATAAAATCATTTTCTCTGCATTCATTGAAGGACACAGTGAAGATTGCTAGATCTTGACCACTGGGACGTCTGCAAGCAGTCTCACCCAAAGGGCGGGCAAGAATAAAACCCCCAGAAGCGACAGACACTGCCGCCTGTAAAACCTTGCACCCAAAACTGGCGCCTGATAAAACTTTTTAAAGGTATGAACCGCCAACCAAGTGGCTGCTTTGCAAGCCTGAGAAACCGAAGCCTGATGACGAAATGCCCAAGATGCCCTAACTACTCTAGTAGTGAGTGAGCAGTAACAGAAGAAGGAGGTTGCAAACCGTGAAAAGAGTAAGCCTGAATAATAACCTGGCAAATTCAACTGAAAATGGTCACCGAGGAGGCAGCTTGACCCTTGCAACGACCAGAAGTAAGCACCAAAAGGGAATCTGTCTTACGAAAAGAAGCAGTAACTTCCAGATAAACTCAGACCGTGAGAACAACATCAGGACAATGTAAGGCTCATTCCAAGTGATGAACCGGTTTAGGACAAAAAAGGTAAAAATGTTTTCATTTAAATAAAAGGCCGACACAACTTTTGGGAGAAAGGCCGGCTTATGGCGAAGCACCACCTTGCCCCTATGTAACACCAAGAAAGGTGATTTGCAGGACAAGACTGGTAACTCAGAAACCCTAGGTGCCGAGGTAATGGTGACCAAAAAGGCAACCTTCTGAGAAAGATTCAGCAAGCGAAAAGGTCACGAATACCTTCAATCGGGGGCTTATGCAAAACAGACAGCCCCAAATTTAGAACCCAATTTGTCGTCGGGGGGCTAAATCAGGAGAGCCACATGAGTCACCCCCTGAATGAAGGTACGTACCAGAAAATTAGAAGCCAGAGGTTATTGGAAAAAGTTGCCAGAGCTGAAATCTGCCCATTAATAGTGCTGAGGACCAATCTCTGATCTACGACACATTGAAGAAAAGCAAGAATCCTAGCCACTGAAAAGGAACATGGGGAAACGGACGAGGACTCACGCCAAGCAAAAAAAGGCCTCCCACATACGATAATGTGTAGCCAGCAACTGTAAAGCAGGATGGAACACAGGTCCCCGAGGCAGAAGGTATGGATGAATCAGTAGGTGACAGGAAGCATCTGCAACAAGCCAAATTAGATCTGTGTACCAAGACGTGGCCAATCCGGAGCCACTAGGATGACTGAGATCGCCTCCGACTCTACCCTGCAAAGCAGATGTAACAGGAGTCTCAGAGGAGGAAATGCATAGATCAGACTGTACTGATTCTATGGCGCTACCAGGGCATTTGTCCGTGTATCCTTTGTCCTGTCCACAAAGCGGTCTGCCTTGCGATTGAAACAGGGACGCTAGAAGGACCATGTATGGAGTCCCCCAACAAAGACAAAGAAGCTGGAAGACCTTTGGGTGAAGAGACTACTCCCCCTGATCCAGGCTCTGATGACGGAGATAATTGGTTCACCAGTTGTCCACAACCAGAATGTACACCACAGAAAGGGCTGAAAAAATCTCTTCTGCCCAGTGAAGACACCTCTAGGACCTCCGCTGTGCTTCTGGTGCCCCCCTGATGGTTTACATATGCCAAGGTCGTGGCATTGTCTGGTTGAATCCGAGCCAGGCAGCCCTGCAACCAAAGAGTCCAATGACAAAGAGGTAGACAGAATGCCCAAAGTTCAAACATGTTGATCGGGAGTAATGACTCCTGCATTGTCCAGCAACCGTGAATCGAGAGCTGGCCCAACAAACCACCCCCCCCCCCTCCCACCTGTAAAGGCGTCCCACAAACCCCCCCCCCCCCCTCCCACCTGTAAAGGCGTCCGTTGTCACCACCATCCAACGAAGTGGGAGGAAAGACCTTCCAGACTTCAGCAGCAAAGACCGAATCCACCACACCAGTGAGGGGCTCATTGTCCCAACTTAACCAAATCTCCCTGTCACAAGTAACCGAGGGATCTGTCCCACCTTCCAAAAATCTCCTGTTGGAGAGACAGAGTATGATGCTGAGCAAAAGGAACCACTTTGAAGGATGCCACAATCGGCCC